CTCCCCAAAGTCTACCACCATCGGCCGCATCTTCTGCACTGTTGCAGGCAACTATGACCTCACATGATAAACAGGTCGCGATGGATATACCAACCATAGACGTTAAAGGCTGTTTCACCACTACTCCTATCCGCTTAACATCATCTACTGTGAATGCCCCCGGCTCCTCTGCGGTCTCCATCGGGCTCTCATCCGAATCATCAGGACCACCAAAGCCTTGACCAGCATTTTCATCCGGTGTTTCGACTTCACTATCGCTTTCATCACTATCGTCACTGTGATCACCGTCATCGTCATCATCACTTTCTTCCTCTTCTCCTCGCTCATACTCCTCTTGTTCTCTCAATAGATTTTGCCGTATCGAGATGAATTTGGCACGGCACTCATCCACATTACGACTCACAACATATTGCGAGATTTTCTCCCACTTGCCATCATCAACATCAACCTCAAAATACTTCTCCAATGCCTCCACCAACCTCTCCTTCTCAGCATCAACCCACTGTACATTCGTCAAAGCGCCAATTTCCTTCTTTTTCTCAGCGGCTTCAAACACACTAGGTATGCACTTTTCCACCGCCTGCAGTGCTTTGAAAATGCTCACTGGCGGCTCTACACTCGCACAATAATTGTCGAATATTTTCGGCAGAAGTATTCTCACAGCCTTAGGAATTTTCGCGCTAATTTTGGTCACTATAAGAACGAGCTCCTCCGAGTACTCACCCTTCTCTGTGTACGAAGAAGGCATCAGGACTGCCACCGGGATGCCCTCTGGCGTATAGAGCATCCGATTGAAATCAGGGTCGCTGCACAAGATGGTCAGGTCCACCCTAGTAAAACCATCCCCCTCAGACTTCCTGTACCCCGCATTCCGATAGAAGCGTTCGAGTTTCATAAATTCCTCCTCACACGTCCAACCATCCGACACGAGCCTTACCACATGCTCTTCATCTGAGATGCCCAGCCTGGTCGGTATCACCTCCTCATCTTGCTTTTCCTCAATTCTTTCATGCCTATACCGACATCGCTCACCGAATCTGCAATTCTTCCCAGCAGCATAATAACGGCACACTGGTCGCTCCTTTTCCTTTGCTGCTCGCTTCTTATCATCTTCTGTCTTCTTCTCAGGCGAGTCAATATGGGCGAATTTGCATTTGTCACCAAAGCGGCATTTACCATTGCGTCGCCAATCTCGACACACCCGAGGCTTCCTAGGAGCAGCAGCCTTCTTTTCTGCTGACAAATCTTGCTCCACTTGCTTTTCCTCAACGCTTTCCAAGGGTGCCAGACCAGGCGGTGGCGACTCTAATGGCATTGATATATCGTAAAACTTGTGAGGAATGGCAAGACCATTTGATCAGTGTGAAAAAATATACACATAGTCAACTACATGTGTTGGTGAAAACATGAAAATTTGAAGGAAATTTCGGGAAATTCTGTTGATTTCTGATCGCCACCGCTCTAAGTCGTGCGTGAACTCCTATAATCAGTGAGGAAACTCCTGAGCTCAGCTGAGGAAAGCGACGATTTATTCCAACACTGCTTCCCCTCATAGTAACTCAGCGACTCATCCAATGCCACTTAGGAAGCCAGGCAGTGCCAGAGAGAAGTGGTAAATGTTGAATACATCATAGACGTTCGAGGAACAATACGTTGGTGAGCAGCAGACATCCCTATACCTCTCCCATCATCACACAGTATGACTGGGACCATCGTGCTCTAGTCTAACAATAGCAAGGCCGTCCCGACCCGGCTTGGTGTCCCATCGACCAAGACGATGATTCCGCCCAATTGCTGCTACTAGGACCTGCACACCAATAATCATCATATCACCAATAGAAAAGATATGTTAATACTCTTCCAGTGCTGCCGACTGCCATCTGATTGATCCACCCTCCCTTGATAGGCAGCTTGATCCTTCTATCCAAGTCCAAGTTCATCTTGCCCTTCGTAGCCGCGCTGGTTCCTGAAGGAAGCTCGATTCGTACCCTATACCCTATACATCCTATTTCCATCATGATGAATTTTCCCCAGCAAAGAGCAGAAAATGTCATAATTTTTCCGCCAGGAGCATAGTTTACTCGTCAAAATTCTACCGAAGTCCGTGACAGGAGACGCCGGACAGTATCGACTGGCAAGATGACGAATTCGTTAGTTCTTCATGAGCCCAACTTCATGAGTATCACCGAGACAAATCCACACACTCGATTGCTGGTGAATATGAACGCCCACCAGTTGATACCACTCCATCCCGAACCTACTCCAGACATTAATAAGGCCATCGTTGGAGCCAGAGAAGGCAACATCACTGCATCTTATAGACGCTAGTGAGGAAATCCAAGGTGCTGCCACTGATCGATCCACCGCCTTGCCATCCGAAGCAATAGTAGACTGCTGTTGCTGCTGCTGCACTGTCGCTGCCTTGGTGAAGTCGAAGTCCTCTTCATCATCGCTTTCATCGCCGTCAGCGGCATCCTCTCTTCCCTCTGCCAAAAGAGCACTTCCGTAACCCCTCCTATCCCGTCCTACTCAGTAGTTGCTTAGCACCATGTGCTGCCTCCACACTAGCGACCGGTCTTCGACTATTAGTAGCCCACAATGTGAGACCTCCATCCTGTCCACCAGCCAGGATATGCTCTGGATCCAACAGTGATACAGCATCAACTGATCCATACCCTAACAACAACAACTTATACCTCGCACCTCCTATCGCTAGCACTCGAGTAGCGTCATTCGTCATCGCTATAGCGTCCACCCCACTACCACCTTCCTTTTTATGTACGTTGAAAAGCATATGCGTATCGTTGGCGACTTTCCAGTACCGCACTGTGCTATCAGCTCCACCAGTCACGGGCCTGCCGACATCATCAGCGCCGAGGCCCCTGTGGCCCTCACCTGTCCCCTTGCAGTATGTCCATACATGTGCCGCTGTTGGTATGACCGTATTGACTGTCCACGTATCGGCCCGAGAAAACAGAGTCCAGATGCCAGATTTTCAACGCCTTATCCTTCCCTCCCAGAGTGAATATCTGATACAACCTACCACTCCTTCCGAGAATCGCCACTAAATAGCAATCGGAAAATCACTACCGAGATATGACGATGTGTAAAGGTGTTCTCCCCGCGATATGGAAAAAGACTAGTGAATGATGAATTTTACGACTACCGTATAAGAAAAATATCGCGTTTTTCACCGAGTTCACGTAACACGCGTAAAACTCCAATATATTACCTTGCTCCCCGAGTAGCTCGTCTGTGCACCTCCCATCCCCTCCCCTGCGGCCTGAGGCGATGCCTCTGCACATACCACCGATGCTATACCGCTTTGATGACCAAGAAGGCGCTGGACCTGACACAGCACCAAGTCCTACTACTACTACTAATACCTCTTCCCCCATATTACGCTTCCTTTATTAGGCGCTCTAACGTCCCACAAAAGCAATGTCTTGTCGTCACTGACCGAGCACAGTAGCTCTGGATGTCCGACCGCATCACCAGTGCAAACCGAAGTAACTATGACGGCACCGACACTTCCACCTCCTCCCTCGGCTATGATGACTACTACCCTTCTGGAAATGTCCACCGCACTTGAAATCGTTCCTGTTGCCCGGGTATACGACGATTTTCTTCATAGTAGCCAGGTCCCACTGGATGATAGCACAGTCCATCCCACCTACCAAACAAGTCCACTATATGCCTCCCCGTCCCCCTAGTACTCACCCGAATAGGCCCTGTCCTCAGATGCATTCATAGCGACACACGTAGGTGAGCATTTGTGGCCCTTCGCAAAGGTAATACTGCCCTCCTTGACCGCAAGGGACTCGGCTATCTTATACCGCTGTCTCTTTGACTTTACTTTCTGCAGTAACCATTTGGACCCACCAACCTCCTAAAGACTACTACCAGTTCCTCATTTAGCATCCTATCGATATCATCCTCCTCATCCATCGAGGCACTTGGTTCTGCATCAACAGCAGCAGCATGATCCTCGGGTTTACTACCACGGGCTGCATCCAATTCGGCTAGGTACCTGCAAAGCCGTAATAACTGATGTCGGCGTATACCCAAGCCTAGTACGCCTTCGCGAGGCGAACCCTCTTCTCGTCAGGGGTCTCTTGTGCGAAGAAGTCGTCCTCATCGTCTTCACTAGGAGGGGCCGGCAAGTTCTCCTCGTCATCGGAGGAGATCGACCCTGAAAGCCATAACAAGGGATGCGCGCAGGAGCAGTGATAGTACCAGCATCATCTGGGGAAGACACGGCAGGCTGCGGACGCCTCCGTTTGTTCCGTTGGATGGCCATAGCAAGTAGTAGCGACTGAGTGCCCAAGTCGCCTTGTCAACACCTATCGATCACCATGGCGCGCGCGGTTACTGCGGCTCCAACTTGCTGAACGCAAATCCTAGGCTACCTCCAAATGTTGACTCTTCCAAGGAGACCACTCGCCCAGAAGCTCTTCAGGCCCGTCGGTGCTCGCCTATTCAGCATCTACGAAGGTGGTCTATGCGCTTGTCTGGTTGTAGTCGCGACTCGACTTCAGGTCAAACCGTACAGGAGTCTGAACTGATACCACAGGAGGATGACTGGGTCATTGAAGAGACCAACTTCTGTTTGGGAAGGTTCTCCCGCTGCCTATAGTCGCTCTGGACTCGACCATTTTCAGGAACTGCTACGTGCGCTTTCGTGAGGAGGACGACCTAGCCAGGCGTGCTCTGCACCAGATGGACTCCCAGCTGAATAAGATGCATACTAGGCTCAGAGATGGTACGCCGTGGGTCCATCCTCGTCCTTCGTATTTCTACACTCAGGTACTGTCATTCCTTATATGTCCTTCCATCCGGATGAAATGGTCGACAGACCTGGTAAGACCCGTACCAGCGAACTACACTTTTCAATGGATCTCTTTTGTTCTTACTCACAAGTTCGGATTAGCAGTAGGTGATTGTCATTTCAGCGCCAATTCATACCTTCTCTGAGAAACCGTTATTGAAGTGGACGTGGGATGAGACTTACGAGGAGGCGTATGACGATCCCGAGGCCCCATCCTACAAACGAGTACCCTATCCAGGAGATGCTCAGACCGAAGCCCCCGAGGAGGTACTCCTACACTCCTGATTAACGTAGCTCAACGCTGCCTTTTATAAGGTGGAGGAACCTCTGAAGAAGCTGAAGGCTGCTAAAGTGGTGGTAGAGGCCGAGCCATCTCCTCCTGATGCCGAGACCACGTCGTCGAAAGAGAAGGTCAGTCGGCAACGCTTGCTTCGATCGGGATTC